CATGTAAAGAGATGAGAAGTTTCTAAAAGCCACCATAGTTTGTATTTAGCTTCGATTAAATACATGTAGCTATGCATGGATTAGTGAGGTGGACAGATGCTGACAGAGGATAGAAAGTAAAGTCATCTTAGTTTAAATTTTAGAACTTAATGAAGGTCACAGAGTTGGTGATATTAAAAAATGTATAATTTAGTCTTTTTACAGATGCACTTTTAGAGAATAGATTTGCCGTTGCTTTCAGTTAATGTACGTAGAGCCGAAAGTTTAACCGGCGTGCTCTGCTCTTCCTCGTTCAGCCCCCAGAGCGACAGATTGTCGTGGGGATCTGTTGCATGATGAAGAAGTCAAAGTCCAAGCCGATGACCCAGATCTTGGAGAGGCTTTGCAGGTTCGAGTACATCACTGTGGTCATCTTCCCAGAGGACGTAATCCTCAACGAGCCCGTGGACAAATGGCCTCTTTGTGACTGCCTCATCTCCTTCCACTCCAAGGGTACAGTGCCCTCCCCAACTGAAACACACATGCAAAAACACAACAGACTCGTTGTGCTTCTTGCTTCCCCGCTTCGTCACATATTGATGATGTTTGTGTGACGTAGCACACATTCTGCTGTGTTTATCATCTTATAAAGTTCCCAAGCATTCGCACACTGAGCTGAGTGGCTGTCTTATAGTGAAGATTATGGTTTAAGAGTCTGTTTCAGGTTTCTCTGCATGTTTGTGTAAAACAGGATTTCCGCTGGATAAGGCCGTGAGCTATGCCAAACTAAGAAATCCTCTGCTCATCAATGACCTGAATATGCAGTATTACATACAGGACAGGTGCGCTCTTTTACTGAAACTATCTACTTCCATCATTTGAGCTAAATACACGTGAAGAGAATCAGGATATGTGAAAATAAACACCCAGTGCTTGTTCCTCTTTTTGTTTCTTCATTTGATTTTGACAGGAGAGAGGTGTATCGCATCCTGCAGGAGGAAGGGATTGATCTACCACGCTATGCTGTGCTGAACCGTGACCCCGATAAACCAGATGGTCAGTCTCCTGCTGATAATAAGTCACTACATATATGCACTGAGAACATTTGTGACGATGGAAAGAGTACATGTTTCAGTTAAAGGGCCTCTTTCAGGTCCCGTCAGGTCTCTGCTGGACCTTATTCCAGGAAGTAGTAACATAAATGTTTGGAAGTAAAACATAAATAAATGAGTTAAGGTCATATGGCTATTTGTTTTGTTGTTGTTCTTTCTGGACAAGTATTAAGGAAAGGCTTTTAGAAGCAAGCTTAAGCATCATTTGCTCCTAAAAAGTGACTCCACTGTAGGGCTGCACGATTTTGCATAAAATGAGAATCACGATTTTTTTGCTTAGAATTGAGATCA